CAATCCGTCTAACACCACAAACTGGGAGACAGACGGGCGTAGACGAGTACTTTAGGAGCACAACACCTAGCTACCACACTGAACACTACCACAACACACACTGAACACTACCACAACACACACTGAACACTACCACAACTACCACAACACATACTAGATCGCGAGGCTCTTCTTACCTGTCATAAGGTGTGGACAGTCATGACAGCAGGTGACAGGTGACCCAAGGTGGCCCCAGGACGACCTCAGGTGACCCCCAAGTGACGTTGATTCCTCGTTGGTGTGGACGTAAACACACACTATGTAAGTCCACTCAATCTCAAAGCACAATTCTGGCCACGATGGTATCAGAATTACACTGAGACTGTAATTAGATACGTTCACTTGGTCACCAATTAAGAGACAAAATTACACTGAAAATAATTACATACGTTCACTTAAAAATTACACTGAATGTAATCAGATATGTTCACAACACGATCTCATCTTGTACGAGTTCAGTTCCAGAGTCCAACCCAACAGCGCGGCCCAGTACTCAACCCCGCGTCTACCAAGCCACTTTCACTGTAGGTCTCAGTAGTGGAGCCAGCTAACCTAACCTAACCCCCACGTCTTATGTAGTGGAGGAGCCAGCACCAACAGACGTATTATACACCTTATCAACATTAACATTTCCGGTGCTGTACTGGGTTGATAGCGAAGCATATCCTGTTGTGTTCCAACAACACAACGAGTCTTAGGGGCACAGCCGGGCTAACCTAACCTAACCAACGAGTCTTAGGAGCACAGCCGGGCTAACCTAACCTAACCAACGAGTCTTAGGAGCACAGCCGGGCTAACCTAACCTAACCAACGAGTCTTAGGAGCACAGCCGGGCTAACCTAACCTAACCAACGAGTCTTAGGGGCACAGCCGGGCTAACCTAACCTAACCAACGAGTCTTAGGGGCACAGCCGGGCTAACCTAACCTAACCAACGAGTCTTAGGAGCACAGCCGGGCTAACCTAACCTCATAAATACTATATATATATATATATATATTTATATATATTTATTCAGAATCCTGAAATTAACCACCTAATGCTATACCTACGGTTGAGTTAGTTTAACATTAGGGCAGCCAATGTTCAGATAATAATCAATAATAAAATAACCAAACAGTTACAAGAATACTTAGAAGCCATGTTGGATCCTGTTCACCCCCCCCCATCGTGTTTACATATGTTTCAAAAGATGTGACACTTCCACCAACACTCAAAGTCTCTCTCTCACGCTAAGACACTGTTCATTCTTATCGCCATTATGAAGGAACAAATCGTTCATGATATTCGCCACACCCAAGTATCTACCTAAATATTCGCCTCCAAAATTCGCCAAACACAAATTTTTTTAAAGTTTTTCGGTAAATATAAAGAAATACGGGATGGGATGGGATGGGATGGGACGGGATGGGATGGGACGGGACAGTATACAGTAGGTAGTAGGCAGCTACCACACAGGGAGGTACTACTGCCTGGGAAGATATTGGAACCATAATGTGTTGTCTATGGTAGACCCTGCTGCTGTATGGCATCACGAAAATTGTGACCAAGTCCCAGGTTGGTGATCTGTCTTTCTGCCTCATTTACACACAATTACAGGGTCTCAATTGTTTCTCTTACTATTAACAACACAACATACATATAGCGTTTCTCACTCTTGATTATTTTTCATTCTTGCATTTCTTTGTATTTATTATTATCACAGTGTTGTCATTATTATTATTACCATTAATATTTTATCTTACTTTTTATTATAAATTTACTATGAATTATTATTATTATTACATTTTCGCCCCCCGGGCCCTGATGTGGGTCAGTGACCTGTGTCCGGGTGGGCTAATGCCTGTAAAAAAACTAAATAAAATAAAATAAAATAAATTCTCATTAGTTATACCTTACTAAGGTTATTATATATTCCCTCAGTAATGCTGTATATATTTACCTATATATACCTTTTGTCATATATTTTCTCTGAGAGAGAGAGAGAGAGAGAGAGAGAGAGAGAGAGAGAGAGACGTCAATCACCCAGTTCTCGACCAAGATGGCGGCTCTCGGTCTTCTCCAGAAATAGTAAACAAATCGATAAGTCGGTTACATCAGCACCATAAAAACAGCGCCACCACGAGCGATCATCACCGCCAGCACGAGCGATCATCACCGCCAGCGCGAGCGAGCAACACCGCCAGCACGAGCGAGCAACACCGCCAGCACGAGCCATCAACACCGCCAGCACGAGCCATCAACACCGCCAGCACGAGCCATCAACACCGCCAGCACGAGCCATCACACCGCCAGCGCGAGCGAGCAACACCGCCAGCACGAGCGAGCAACACCGCCAGCACGAGCCATCAACACCGCCAGCACGAGCCATCAACACCGCCAGCACGAGCCATCAACACCGCCAGCACGAGCCATCAAGAGCCCTCCAAATGACACTTCAATCTAACCTACTCATTTAAATAGTGTGTGTGTGTGTGTGTGTCGTCTAGATATATCAAAACTTGGCCAATTAGCGTACACCATACCCGCATACACGTGGACCCTGCCAATACCTCAGCCGGGACACACACACACACACTGGTGGCACTAGAATGGTGGTATTGGTACTAGCAGAATGGTACAACCGGAATACCTATAGTGGTACAAATGGGATAATGGTACCGGTACTGCTACTACTAAGGGTACTTTGGAACTGGTGGAGGGAGGAGGGAGGAGGAGGGAGGAGGGAGGGAGGATGGACGGAGGATGGAGAGATGGACGGAGCGGAGGAGATGGAGATGGAGGATGAGGAGGAGATGGATGGAGACGGATGACGATTCTGACGGATTCTGACTTTGACTTTGACTTTTTTCTGACTTTGATTCTGATTTTTGACTTTCTGATTTTGACTTTTTTGACTTTGACTTTGACGGGGAGGGAGGGAGGGAGGGAGGGAGGGAGGGAGGGAGTGGGGAGGGAGGGAGGGAGGAGTGGGGGGAGGAGGGAGGGAGGGAGGGGAAGAATTTCACATGAGTAAGTTGTAATGTAAATCAATAAATGGCAACCCACCACTCAAGACTATGGGGGGGAACAGGAGGGGGGTAAGAGTGGGGGGCTGATCCACACACACATATATTCTCACTCTTCCTCCCTGCCTCCTCTCCTCCCCAGTACGGTACTACACGATACCCCCTCTGCCACACACACACACACTTCTGTCCATACAAGCAAGGATCATTATCTGATTGTCCACCTCCCTCTCTACCATTCATTCATTCACAGTTAGTTCCTCTTTTCCATCACTTAAACCCACAACCTATTAGATCGACACCCACACCTAATAGATCGACACCCACACCCCCAATAGATCGACACCCACTACCAGTATAGCCTTCAAGACCCAAGGGGAGAAGGGGGGAGAGGGGGGGAGGGGAGAGGAGAGGGAAGAGGAAGGGAGAGGAGAGGAAGGGAAGGGATGGAGTGGGAAGGGAGAGGAGAGGAAGGGGAGGTAAGGGAAGGGGATCAGGTCGACTTTGGCCCTAATCCTACTCGGGGTTGTCCTAATGGCTCTCACAGTGCTAATGGGACACAGTGTTGACGGGTCCCTACTCTCTACCTGTTGCAAATCTACCTGTCTACGTATCTACCTGTCTATCTATCTATCTACCTGTCTATCTATCTATCTACCTGTCTACTTTTGTGTCTGGGTTCAAGATCGCGTGTCCGCCACTCCGCACGACCCTCAAGCACTCCATCAACCGGGCCCACCAATACTCTCTCTCTCTCTCTCTCTCTCTCTCTCTCTCTCTCTCTCTCTCTCATATGCCTGGTAAGTTCCTGGTAAGAATCTTCAATCTGTGGAGTGTGTGAGGGAAAAGTTTGGTGGGTGGGAGGGAGGGAGGGAGAGGCGGAGGGGCGGAGGGAGGGAGGGGCGGAGGGAGGGAGGGGCGGAGGGAGGGAGGGCAGGAGGGTAGGAGGGGCGGAGGGAGGGAGAGGTGAGAAGAGCCACCCCCCTACTGGATAGTTTAACCAAAGTTTCTCAGATTTACACCCCACACTGCTGCCATCAACACCTCCCTCCCTCCCTCCTTCCTTTCTCTACCTGCCTCTCCTTCATATACCTCCCCCACTCCTTCATCTACCTCCTTCACTCCTTCCATCCTTCGTTCTACCTCCCTCCTTCCATCATCCATCTATCTTTATATTTGCCCCTACACCACCACCACCATAACCTATTATTATTATTAAATCTTTTTATTACTGTTGCCATAATTATCATCATTATCATCACTATCATCACCGTACTACCATTTACACTCCACTAAGTCTCATAACCAAATCTAACCTAATTTCAACCAAACTGTGAGATGAGAGAGTACAATAGATGACGTCACGGCGGAGAGGAACCAATCACCGCAACTTAATTACATGACGTCACGGAGGAGAACCAATATCCGCAACTTAATTATATGACATCACGGGGGAGAAGAACCAATCAATGCAACTTAATTACATAACGTCACGAACAACCAAACAGCGCAACTTAATTAGATGACGTCACGGTTGAAGAGAACCAATCACCGCAACTTAATTAGACGACGTCACGGGGAAGAAGAACCAATCAGCGCACTTCATGGCTCAGTACCTGTGAATTTTGTTTTCTTAGCGTGAGAGAGAGAGAGAGTTAACCTGTACTTGACCGTGAAGCTTCAACCATGACAAGTACCTCCTCCACCTCCTCTTCCACCACCTCTTCTTCCACCTCCTCAACCTCCTCTTCTTCCACTCACTCTTAACGGTGTACCTGTAATACCCAAATCTGTACCTGTAATTACCTAAATCTGGACCTAAACTTAATACCCAAATCTGAGTAAATTTCCCTGCGAGTATATGAGAGAGAGAGAGAGAGAGAGAGAGAGAGAGAGAGAGAGAGAGAGAGAGAGAGAGAGAGATAAGCCATTAAGACAAAACAATCCACATTACCTGTTGACAGTCACCGCCCGCCACCACACCGTCACTTATCACCTATTTACCTGTAATGAAAAATGACAACACATTACTCACCTATAACCTTAACACACACACACACACACACACACACACACACACACACACACACAGTCATTACATATACCAAAAACCACCTGAAGATTAACCACCCAAATTAACCATACAAGAAGGAAGGTAAGGTTAGGTTAACATTAGGATGGGTTAATCTTTCAGGTGATCCCAAGACCCAGGTTAGGTTAGGTTAACATTAGGATGGGTTAATCTTTCAGGTGATCCCAAGACCCAGGTTAGGTTAGGTTAACATTAGGATGGGTTAATCTTTCAGGTGATCCCAATACCCAGGTTAGGTTAGGTTAACATTAGGATGGGTTAATCTTTCAGGTGATCCCAAGACCCAGGTTAGGTTAGGTTAACATTAGGATGGGTTAATCTTTCAGGTGATCCCAAGACCCAGGTTAGGTTAGGTTAACATTAGGATGGCCTTGACCTAACACTACTGGCTGTCTGAAATTCTGCTGTGGATGTGTTGAGAGTTCCTCTTTAGTGGCGAAAGAATGACGGACCGTGGTGTGTGGCTGGAGGGGAGAGGGGGATGGGGTAGGGGATGGGGGAGGGTAGGGGATGGGAGGAGATGGGGTAGGTTGTCAATGTACTCCAGGTGTTCTCATAGTACTCAAGTGGTTCTCCATAGTACTCAAGGGTTCTCATCGTACTCAAGGGGTTCTCATCGTGCTCGGGGTTCTCATCGTACTCAAGGGTTCTCATCGTACTCAAAGGGTTCTCATCGTACTCAGGGTTCTCATCGTACTCAAGGGTTCTCATCGTACTCAAGGGGTTCTCATCGTACTCAAGGGGTTCTCATCGTGCTCCAAGGTTACCTCGTCCGTAAAATGAGTGTTGTGTATTTATAATGACGAGTCTCTGATAAACAGCCCGTGACGTGTTCCAACATGTGGGGCGCTTTTAACCCGCTAGAGAGAGAGACTATGTGTGTGTGTGTGTGTGTGTGTGTGTGTGTGTGTGTGTGTGTGTGTGTGTGTGTGTGTGTGTGTGTGTAAAATCAATAAATTACAAATACCACTGCACGAAAAAACAAAACAACAAGACAATCCATAGGTACAGGCTGATCAAAACAAAGACACACAGAACACAGCACACAACACAACCACCACCACTACACTACAACAACAACAAAAACAACCACAACCACCACAACAACTACAACAACAACTACAACAACCACAACTACTACAAAACAACTACAACAACTACAACAACAACAACTACAACAACCACAACAACAACAACTACAACAACTACAACAACAACAACCACAACAACCACATCATCATCATCTCTGGTGCTAAATCTGGCACCTTGACTCCTCTCACATCCCTCCTTCTTCTCTTCCATCTTCCATCTCCTTCCCCATTACCCTCCCTTCTTCATTCATCTTACACCTTCTCTACATCTCCCCCTTCCCTATTTACCCCTCCCTCCTTCCTTCCTTCCCTCCTTCCTTCAACATCTCACTGATTTAAATGAGAAGACTTCATTAAGTGACTTCATTCTTGGCCTTAAGTCAGTGTCGACCATAGAGCACTCTGACCTTCATCCTCCCCCTACCTCCCTCACCCCCTACCCCTCCTCACCCCCCACTGCCCCTCCCTCACCCCCCCACACTACCCCTCCTCCCACTCCCCCACCTACCCCTCCTCACCCCCCCACCCCCTCCCTCCCCCCCCTACCCCTCCCTCACCCCCCTGCCCCCTCCTCACCCCCCACACTACCCCTCCCTCACCCCCCCTACCCCCTCCCTCCTCCCCCTACCCCTCCCCTCCTCCCCCACCTACCCCCTCCCTCCACACCCCTACCCCTTCACTCCACCCCCCCCTACCCCTCCCTCACCCCCCCACACCTACCCCCTCCCCTCCCCCCACTACCCCCTCCCCTCCCACTCCCCACACCCCCTCCCCTCACCCCCACTACCCCTCCCTCACCCCACCCCCTCCCCTCCCACCCCCCCTCCTCCCCCCTCCCCCTCCCTCCTCCCACACTACCCCTCCCTCACCCCTACCTCCCTCACCCCCCTGCCCCTCCTCACCCCCACTACCCCTCCCTCCCCACCCCCCACACTACCCCCCTCACCCCCACACTACCCCCTCCTCCCCCCCCACCACCCCCTCCTCCACCCCCACACTACCTCCTCACCCCCCACTACCCCTCCCTCACCCCCCCTCACCCCTCCCCTCACTCCCCACCCCTCCCCTCCCCCCCCCCTCCCCCTCCCTCCCCACCCCTCCCCTCCCTCCCCCCCACACCCCCTCCCTCACCCCCCACCTAACCCCTCCCCTCCCTCCCCCACCACCCCCTCCCTCACCCCCCCACCCTACCCCCCCCTCACCCCCCACTACCCCTCCCCTCTCCCACCCCTCCCACAAAACTTCTTGTGTGAGGTAAGAGCAAAACCAGATTTAGGGGTACAGTGATAAGAGATGTGTCTAAATTACCTTAATGGTCAGGTAACACAGGTGGTGACAGGTGATGGGTGGGTGGGGATGAACAGTGAGAGGGGGTGAGAGAAAGGAAGGGGGTGAGAGGGTGAGAAGAAGGAAGGGCTGAGGAAGGGGGGCATCAGTGGCACAGTACCCGGGATGTGACATTTACACTATCACCGGATAACCTCACTACCCCCCATCTCCCCCATCACTGCTACCACCCTTGTCATCACCACCACCACCGCTCACCGCACACCACACACACACACACACACACACACACACTGAAAGTGTTCCTCAATAGTAGTTTTCTCCAACAGTGTAGAAGTGGGGAGGAGTTAATGTTGGAGGATGGGAGAGAGGAGGAAGGAGAGAGTGTGGGGAGTGAGTGGGGAGAGAAGGTGAGAGTGGGGAAGGAAGTGTAGGAAAGGAAAATAATCGAACCAGCACGCCTATTTTTCCTCCTCACCTCGATTCGTCCTCCTCCTCCTCCCTCCTCTCCTCACCTCCCCCTCCCTCTCCTCCCTCCCCCCCTCTCCTCACCTCACCTCCTCCTCCACCTCGATTCGTCCCTCTCCTCCCCACCACCACCCTCCCCTCTCCTCCCTCCCCCCTCCCCTCTCCTCCTCCCCCCTCCCCTCTCCCTCACCTCCTCTCCTCCCTCCCCTCCCCTCTCCTCTCCTCCCCTCCCCCTCTCCTCACCTCCTCCCCTCTCCTCTCTCCTCACCTCCCCCCCCCTCTCCTCTCCTCCCCTCTCCTCACCTCTCCCCTCGCCCTCTCCTCATCTTTCCTCATTACAGAAACATCTTGACAGCTTCAGGACGCTACACCACCACCACCTCCCCGACACACCATTGCACCAAGCTAATGTTGGTAGTGGTGGTTGATAGTGATGGATAATAGTGGTGATAGTGGTTGTGGTGATAGTGGTTGATAGTGTTAGTGATGGATGGATGTGGGTTAGGTGGTAAGTTAGGTTGTGTGGTGGACCCCCCACCGTAATATTTCATCAATATACTCAAGGAAAACCTGGTTATCACACACACACACAACACACAGACACAGACACACACACACACACACACAGACACACAGACACAGACACAACACACACACACACACACACACACACACACACACACACACACACACACACACACACACACACACACACACACACATACATTATAGCCTCAATTAAAACCTTATTTATACTCAGGCTTCTTAAACCAAACCTAATCTAACCTAACCAAACCCTAATCTAACCAAACCTAACCTAATCCAAACCCTAACGAAACCTAATCTAACCCAAACCAAACCAAACCTAATCAAACCTAATCTAACCAAACCAAACCTAATCTAACCAAACCTAACCTAATCTAACCAAACCAAACCTAACCAAATATCATTAACCTAACCTAATCTAACCAAACCAAACCTAATCTAACCTACCAAACCACAAAACACCGGTATAAGTCTGGCCGTCATAAAGACACAACCAAATTAACACCCAATAAGATTTCAACTTTCCGTGACGTCATAACATACGTCACGGCCGCCATGTCTCGGTGACGTCATAGAGGGCGCGGACAGGTATACAGGTAGGTGGGCGCGGACTGGGGTGTCAGGTGAGCTTGTTAATTAATCACCTGGTAAACTCGTGGGCGTGGACGATCAGCTTCAACCATAAATATATACTACTCCACCAAGCTACCAGGATATACTCCACCAATACTTCAGGTTTACTTTTATCTCTCTCTCACACACACACACACCACACACACACACACACAACACTACCGCTCTCAATCCCCCCCCACCCCAAGTGATCTATGCCTAAAGACCCTTCCAAACAAGACGTACAGAAGTTTAATATAATTAATGAGCCATATACACCTTTAATTAACCTATACACCTTTAATTAACCTATACACCTTTAATTAACCCATACACCTTTAATTAACCCATACCTTTAATTAACCTATACCTTTAATTACCCTTTATTTAATTAACCTATACCTTTAATTAACCTATACACCTTTAATTAACCTATACACCTTTAATTAACCTATACCTTTAATTAACCTATACCTTTAATTAATATACACCTTTAAATAACCCATACACCTTTAAATAACCATACCTTTAATTAACCTATACACCTTTAATTAACCTATACACCTTTAATTAACCTATACCTTTAATTAACCTATACTTTAATTAACCTATACACCTTTAATTAACCTATACACCTTTAATTCCATACACCTTTAATTAACCCATACCTTTAATTAACCTATACACCTTTAATTAACCTATACCTTTAATTAACCCATACACCTTTAATTAACCCATACACCTTTAATTAACCTATACCACCTTTAATTACTTACACCTTTAATTATATACACCTTTAATTAACCCATACACCTTTAATTAACATACCTTTAATTAACCCATACACCTTTAATTAACCCATACACCTTTAATTAACCCATACACCTTTAATTAACTTCCTACACCTT